ATGGATTTTCACATGAACTATACTTCATGCCTAGTATTTTTGCTTTTTTATAATTAAACGTGGCAACATCGCACATTTACGTCCGAATTCCTTTCGTAGACTCAGAACCGCTGGGCAGACAATATCTAGGTTTTTATATTTACGATATTTTTTTTTCAATTTACAATTCCATTTTCCCTGCAACTTAGGACAATTTATAAATATGGCACATCTGCAGTAAGTGTCCGCAAGTGATATTAGAATGGGAGTCAATGTTTGGGGCATATTTTAATCATAATAAACCTATCTATTTCATGTATTAATCTGAGGTCCAAATATAATCAAATACCCTGTACATGTATTGCCACCAGTTGTTACCCCCTCGTCGAAGTCCAATTTGTCTTGAAATTGACGTGCTTGCCATATGGCGGCACGAGTGGCGGCAGCACAGATCCATTTACATTGAAATAAATTTGAAGTTCACTTCGAAGTGCACTTTAAATTTGGGCGAGCTGCTTGTCGAGGGCAAACAGAAATTTGTGAAATGTCAAAATTCTCATAAAATTCTGACGTTTTGACTTGACGTTTTTTCTCAATTTCCAATATCAAATAAAGTGAATTTTGGTCTGCAAAGTAGGTAAATGATAAAATATCAAATATCACAGTTTGACGTATGATATTTTATCATTTGATTGCAGAACAAAAATGTCAAGTCAAAATGGCAGAATTTTATGAAAATCATGATGATAACCCCTCGTTTTTATTCTAATTGGTGACTTCACCGATGAGTTACCTATCTTTGTTTAGTGAATGGAAAATGACAATGACTGACATAGAATGGTGGATCCATTGGTAAAATTTGATGAGATACATTGCAGAAAAAAAATGGCAAGTCAAAACGTCAGAGTTTTATGAGAATCATGATGAATAATCTAAAAATTTGACATTTCACAAATTTCTGCTTGCCCTCGGCAAGCAGCTCGCCCAAATTTGAAGTGAACTTCAAATTTATTTCAATGTAAATGTGATGTAAATGTGAAGATTTTGACATTGAAAACTTTGAAACATAAACAATAACGCTTGACCCTGATTGGTCGCAAAATGAGGTGTTTCTGCAGGTTGACATCAGTTTTACAATAGCGGCCAATAAGTTTGCATTGCATTGTTTATGTTTCAAAGTTGACAATGTCAAAATCTATCTTGGAAAAAAATAAAGTATAGTAATTATGTTGGCAACACAAGCCTTTTCTACATAAAAAATTTGAAAGCATTGACAATTTTACATTGCATTGCCAACACAATGTCACTCGAAATGTCATTTTGACTTTTATCTTTCAAAAAAAAACAGACTTTATCTGTGCTGTCGCAATATGACAAGCACGTCAATTTCAAGATAAATTGGAGTTTGAACTTAAACATTAATTGTTGACCAGAGCTGCTTTCGGGTGCCACCCTTTAAGCATTCCCGAGTTACTCTGAAGTACTCCAGCTACAGATTGACCCGTTCGGTTTCAAGCGTTCGAGTACCAAACGCATGGAATAGGACAGGTCACTGACAGATGTGAAGTGTTCTAAGAGCACCCGAAAGCGGCTATGATTGGGTTATTGGGTGATATGTATCACATGACGAAAAATAACTCGCATATAAAACTGTCAAAAAACTTTCAATAGTAATATAACGAGTGCAATGGAAATTATTGATAATTGATAATAAAAGAGCACGAGTGCACGTAGTGCACGAGCCTTTTTCAGTTAAAAACGCATGAGTGCAAATTTCCCAAAAATTATCAATATATTTCCATTGCACGAGTTGTATTTAATGAGAGAATTTCATGTATCAAAAATTTAAATTTTTTGTCAAAAAATGTCAAAACACCAGTTTTCAGACCAGTTACTATGCAATGGCAGCAAATATCCAGTTAAGTTCCATAAAATTTTGTAGAGGGCGCGAGTGAACGGAGTGCTTTGAATTTTGGCGGTAAATGTCAATAGTTTTAAACCGATTTAATAAGTGGAAGGAAAGATGACTGCATATGAACAATGAACAGTGAATAAGTTAAAATATCTTCCAAAACGTTCAGTGGCCCTTAAAGAATATTTTAAAAAGTGTCAGCATCAGCTTGTCTCGAAACCACACATCAAATTAGACTTTTGAGGTTAAAATTACATTTGATTATTCACGCGCCAAAATTTAAAAAGCTCCAAGTACCTACAGAAGCGCCCTCTTCAATTCAACTGTCAATATTACATGCCATTATCTGATAATTTGCACTAGTGCAAATTATCGGTAATTCCAATCTGATTCGTTCAAATCAACAATCAAAACATGTCAGTTTATTGTTGAAATATCAGTTTTGACAGATGTATGAAATTCTCAGTGAAATTGATAGATTTCAATTTCATTTATAAATATTCTGTCAAATTTCAGTTTGTTGTTATTCACCGCGAAAAATGCCCTTTATAGTTTGTTTTTTCAATTTTCCATGAGTCTTTTCAGAGAAGAATCAGAAAATTCGCAAGGTAATGGAGATCCAAAGTTTGTAGAGTCTTTTCAAAAAGCACTAAAACATTGTCGAGGATCTCAGAATTCAGAATCCCAGGAATCGAAGAAAAATAGAACATTTTTTAAAAAACAAATCAGGATCTAAAGATCTCAAAAACCAGATAGAATCCAAAGATTATGAGTATCTTTTTTGAGGAGAATCGGGAAGTTTGCAAAATAATAATTCATGATTAAGGACTTTGAGAGTCTTTTCAGAGAAGAATCAGGAACATAATGAAGGAATGGAATTTTAAGTTCTTAGATTTTTTCAAAAAAGCACCAAAAAATTTTCATAATTCAGAATCTCAGGATTTTCTCAAAGAAAAACAGTACATTTGCAAAAAAACAAATCAAAATTAAAGAGTTTTAAGAAATCAAACAGAATCCAAAGATTCTGAGTAGAGAGAAGGAGTTTGAGGAAATTAGTAAAGCAATGAAGAATTGAGAATTTTAAGTTTTAAGACCTTCTCAAAAAAAGCACCAACAAAATTTTGAAATTTTCAGGAAACTGTACCTACAAAGGAAACTGTATGATTATTCAAAAACTGTACATAGGATTGAATTCATACTAACATGGAAAATCAGGAGCTTCCAGAACATTTGCAAAAGAACAAATCAAGATTTATGAGTCTTAAAAAATCAAACAGATTCCAGAGATTTTGGGAATCTTCCCATAGAATAATGAGGAAGTTTGGAAAATAATGATTTGCAAGTCTTCTCAGAGAAAAATCAGGAAATTAGTAAAGCAATGATTCAAGAATGAGAATCTTGAGTGTTTAGAACTTTTCAAAAAAGCTACAACAAATTGTTGAGGTTCTCATAATTCAAAATCCCAGGATCTTCTCAAAGAAAAACAAAACATTTGTGAAAAACAAATTAAGATTTGAGAGTCCCAAAAAATCAAACAGAATCCGAAGATCCTGAGAATCTTTTCTAAGAAGAACCAGGAAGTTTGCAAAATAATAATACACAATCAAGGACTTTGAAAGTCTCTTCAGCAAAAAATCGGGAAATTAGTAAAGCAATGATTAAGGCAATAATTCAGAATTGAGAATCTCAAGTTTTTAAAATTTTCTAAAAAGCACCAACAAATTTTCAAGGTTTAGAATTCAGAATTTAAGTATCTTCTCAAAGAAAAACAGGACATTTGCAAAGGAACAAATCAGAATCTAATTATTTTAAGAAATCATACAGAATTCAAAGATTTTGTGAATCTTCTCTTAGAACAACCAGAACCAATTTAGAATCTTAATTTTTTAGAGTTTTTCCCAAAAAAAACAAATTGTTGAGGTTCTTAAAATTCAGAATCCCAGGATTTTCTCAAAGAAAAATAGAACATTTGCAAAAAAACAAATCAAGATTTGAAAGTCCTAAGAAATCAAAGAGAATCCAAAGATCCTGAGAATCTTCTCCTAGCAGATTCAGGAAGTTTGCAAAATAATGATACTTGATCAAGGACTTTGAGAGTCTTTTTATTGAAAAATCAGAAAATTAGTAGAGCAATGATTCTTGAGTCTTTAGAAGAAACGAATGAGAATCTAGAAATCATAATAATCAGACAGAATCCAAAGACCCAAAGAATTTTCTCTGATAATAATCAGGAAATTTGCAAAATAATGATTCACGAAATTAGTCAGGCAATGATTCAGAATTAAGATTCTTCAGTTTTTAGAACTTTTCAAGAAAGCACCAACAAATTTTCGAGGTTTCCAGAATATCAGATTCCCAGGATCCTTTAGTCTTTTCAAGGAAAAACAGCAAAATTTGGAGATTCCAAGAACTAGACTGGATTCTGAGCTTGTGCGAACGAGGATGTTTGTAAAGTAATGACTTCAGGATCTGAGGTCTCTGAGTTTTTTTTATAAAAGCCTCAAGAATTTTACGAAGAAGAATTTCAACCAAATTTCAATATTTTAAAGGTATCATTATTGCAAAAAAAAGATTGAAATGTAAAGAGGATTGTATGTCTGTGATAGCAGATATAGCTTGTCAAAGTACGTAGGTCCTGCTATGCTATATGCATGGGAAATATCCCTACGTAGATTTTCTTGAATATCTCGAAAAATACTAATCCGATTTTGACTTTTTTGGAGTTTGATACCTAAAAAAGAACCCGAAAAACGTCAAAATCGGATTAGTATTTTTCGAAATATTCAAGAAAATTTATGTAGGGATATTTTCTCGGATATTTCCTATGCATAGCATAGCAGGACCTACGTAGTTTGATAAGCTCTATCTGATATCACAGACAAACGATCCTCTTTACGTTTCAATTTTTTTTTTTACAATAATGATACCTTCAAAATATTGAAATTTACGGGAGCCTATTTTCAATGTTAACTGTACCTCTTTCTTTCTCCTAATTTCTCTATAGGAAAACCTGAATATACGTAAAGGATTTTAGGCATATAAAATTTTATTTCTTAATGTTGTAGAATATTTGTGTTTATGAAATATTAATCAACCATTTATTTTGCAGTTTTCACAGGTTTCGAACCGAAAAACCCCAACAGGATCAAAAAGACTGAAACTACAGAGAAGAAAATTCTCAAGAAACCCATGGACGGTCCTCGGCAACGACCCAGCGATGGTAAGTTTCATTTTCCCCCAATACATTTTAGGCTTATAATTAATTTTCCAGCCGATACAATACAAAGAATGTTGGCTAACCTCCCAGCCAAACGCATGAGAAGAAACATAATGTCCCTTAGCGATGTTGTTTTCAAATCGAAAAAAACCAATAATACTCAAAAGCTTCCTCCTACCAAGGTTAAACGGGGTAGTAAGATGCAAACTGATAAAAATATTAAGTCAAATTCTTGTAGGGCTTTAAGGAGTTTTGGTAAAGTTTTATCAAGTAGGATTTTAGATATTAATTCGTCTTTAATGGTTAAAAGGAAAATTAAGGTTTTACGTAGTCAAAGGTTAACTAGGAATAATTCTAAAAATGAATCAGAGAAGGTATTGAGTGATACAGAATTGATAGAAGAAGATGCTAAAATTCCCTTGGAAAATACAAAGAAGTCAATAGGAAAGAGAATCTTAAATAGTCGATTAAATTTGAAGAATTTCTTTCCAGTTAAAAAACGAGCTAAAAATCTAGAAAAAATACCCCAAGAACCTGAAAGTGAAGAGTCAAAATACTTGGAAAATTTCGACCAAACAAAAAAGAACAAAAGAGGAGGTCTAAAGGGATTCGTTAGGGCTTTAAGTTTGAGGAAACGTAATTCGAAAGATGACGAAGACAAAACTAAAAAGCCTGAAAAAATTGAAGAAACACCCAAAAAACGTAAACTAACTTTTCGCAAAGTAATTAACAAAGTGAAAAAACTTAAAACAACATCAAACAAACCTACAGTAAATCAGGCTCCTTTTTTAGAAGAACCTGTACAGCAGGCACAAGAAACAACAGTGGAAGTCGAAGAAGAAAACATTCAAGAGAAAGAAGATCTTGTCCCTACTGTCACTGATTCTGAAAATCCACCGATACCTGAAACTATTTTTAATTTAGTTGAAAAGGAGGAGAAAGGTTTACAGGCCAAGGGTGAATTAGACTTTGATGATATCAGTAATAAAATATTAGAGCCTACTACTATAGATATTTCTATAAAACCTAAATCTGTGCCTTTACTTTCTCCAAATGTTAAAGGGAAAATTCGTAAACCCAGTCGAGGCTTGAATGATTGTATTGCAATGCTTACAACTAAATTGAAGCAAAAAGATGATAAACTTTCATTGTCTAGGGAGAGTTTATTTAGTACATCGTCTACAACTAGTGTAGAGCCACATGCAAATTTGCTTGTTCCAATACTGCCAACAGTTACTACTGTCAATGAATCTCCGTTGGATTTGAGCAAAAAGTCTGAAAGTACTCCAGATTTGTCTGAGAAAGTTTTGCCTGATGCTTCTTGGACATCAGTTGATGATATTATACAGAAAGTGATTGATGAAAATACAATAAATGGGTGTAATAAGTCTAATTTGGATGATACTATTGACTTTGTTGTCAATAATAGTTTAGATTGGTTTGAAATAAGACAACGTAAAAAACCAAGAAGGAGAAAGCATTCAGATGATGGTCTGATAACCAATATTTTATTCGGCAAAGATAAGTTGATAATTGCGCCTTCTAGTAATCCTAATGATGATGATCCTTTGATAGCCAAAATAAAAGAAAATGAACTTAAAATGTCTTCAGCCAATGCCCAAAATTTACTTCCTTTGCCTAATTTATTGGTAAATCCGTTTCCATTTTTATCAGTATTTGAACCAGAAGTTTTAGTTAATGAAACTCAAACAAAAGAATTATTAGTCGAAGAAGCAAAGAAGCCACCAAAAGTTCGTAAAGGCAGAAAACCTAAATTAATTGAAACAAATATTGATGATCAGTTGGATATTAAGGAAGTTCCAAACAATGAACCAGACATTGTTGCACTTCCGGCTGAAGCAGCCATTGAACTGAGTACAGAAAATGAGCCTACAGTTTTGGAAAATAAAATTATTACTAAGCAAGTGAGTGATTCAGAAGATGAAGTTCCTTTAGCTCAAATTGCAAAGCAAGATTCTATTGAAACTACATCTAAAAATGATATGGTTGAAACTCTTACAACAGATAGTTTGAAGGAAAATATTGAAACACCTAAAGATCCAGTGATTGATACAAAAGCCCCAACAACAATTAAAAAAATCAGAAGAAAGAAACGCAAGAAAATCTATGTTAGACAAAAAAGGCATATAAACAAGCCCAGCATTAAAGTTGATGCTTTATTGGAATCAAATACGAATTTGCCATCAGAAGATCCTCAACAATGTGAAGAAGTTGTTAATAAAGAAGCACCTACAAAACAAAGAACCAGGCGTAAGTCAAAAAGCTCCAAGAAAATTGACACTGTTGATAATGATTTATTTAAAAATTTCTCCTTGGTAATCAACAAGAAAACCAAAAGAATCCCACCTACAAGTATAGTGGATGATTCTGTTTGTGATGATATCAACTTTTTTGTAAAGCCTGTTGAGGTTATTGAAGCCAAACCAAGTGAAAATCTTTTGAATGACTCAATTGAAGAAATGGACATGGAACTTGAAGATTTACCTGTCAATAGTAGTATAATTATTATTGAAAGAGATGTGATGGGTGAGAAGGTTGTGGAATCGGAAGTGCAAAGCTTAGACGATATTATGGATCGAGAAGATTTGTCTGGAACTAATGAGGTTCCTGAAAGTCAAGATGTTTCAGTTTTGCCAATAGTTGACAAAGAGGAAATTGTTGTTAAGCCAATTCCAAGGAAAAGGGGCAGGCCAGCTAAAAATCAAAAGAAGCTTATTACAATGATAAACAATCCATTGAAAGAATCAACACCCAAACGTGGTAGACCCAGAAGGTCTAGAACAATCAACAATGAAATTGAAAGACCAAAATCACCTCTTGTTGAAGAAATCATTCATGCAGTATCTGAACCAGATTTGTCTGTCATTCAATTTACAGCTGTAGAATTAGTAGATGTTGAACAAAATAATTTAGAAATATCTGAAGAATATGTAGTAGATGTGCCAATAGAGACTAGTGAAATAGTTGAAGATGTAGATGAGAATACCCAAGAAACTAAAGATGAAGACAAGGTAACTTCAAGCTCAGAAATTCAATTGGTTCAGACACCAATAGCTGCAAAAAGGGGCCCCAAAAAAGGATCCAAAAATAAAAGAAACAATTTGAAACAGTGTAAAACAGATGAGACAAATGACATTCCTAAAAAAGATGAAGAAGGTCTTATTGGTTCAGATTCAGTATTGTTGGACGAATCAGAAAATTTAAAGATTTCTCCGGTTAAACGCCGTAGAGGAAGACCAAGTAAAAATCAAACTAATATTGAAGTTTTAAGGCAAACAGACATTGAGGTTGCTGTTTTGCCATTGAATGAACCAATTGCTGAAGATTTTGAAGATAAATGCAATAATGATATTTTAAAATTGCCCTTAAGCTTAGAATATAAAAGTGACGTAGATGAAGGTACTAAAAGTCGAAGATCTCGCAAAGTTATTGATTATAATGAAGATGTTTTAGCATTAAAGATTAATGAAGATGAAATATTTAAAACATCTAAGAAAAATGTAGATGAAGATGTAAATCAAGAACCAATAGTAACATCAGAATATTTGCCACCAGAAATTCCTGTTGAACAAATATCATCTAAAGAATCTGTAGTAGATGTAGAGACTAATGAAATAGTTGCAAGTATAGATGAGAATAACCAAGAAACTAAGGCAACTTCAAGCTCAGAAAGTGAATTAGTTCAGACATCAAGGGCCCCTAAAAAAGGAACCAAAAATAAAAGGAATAACTTGAAACAGTGTAAAACAGATGAGACAAATAGCATTCCTGAAAAAGACGAAGAATGTCTTGTTGGTTCAAATTCAATATTGTTGGAAGATTCAGAAAGTTTAAAGATTTCTCCGGTAAAACGGCGTAAAGGAAGACCAAGTAAAAATATTGAAGTTTTAAAACAAACAGACATTGAGGTTGCTGTTTTGCCATTGAATGATCCAATAATTGCTGAAGTATTTGAAAATGGATGCAATCAATTGCCATTAAACGATGACGTAGATGAAGGTACCAAAAGTAGAAGATCTCGCAAAGTTATTGATTATAATGAAGATATTTTAGCATTACAGATTAATAAAGGTAAAATATTTGAAAGATCTGGAAAAAATGTAGATGAAGCTGTAAACTCAAAAATAATGGTAGAGCAAATAACATCAGAGTATTTGCCACCAGAAATTCCTGTTGAATCTGTAGTAGATGTAGAGTCTAATGAAATAGTTGAAGATGTAGATAAGAATAACCAAGAAACTAAAGACGAGGATAAGGCAATTTCAAACTTAGAAATTGAATTGGTTCAGACACCGTCACCTGCAAAAAGGGGCCCTAAAAAAGGAACCAAAAACAAAAGGAATAATTTGAAACAGTGTAAAACAGATGAGACAAATAGCATTCCTGAAAAAGATGAAGAATGTCTTGTAAATTCAATATTGGTGGCAGATTCAGAAAGTTTAAAGTTTTTTCCGGTAAAACGGCGTAAAGGAAGACCAAATAAAAATATTGAAGTTTCAAAACAAACAGACATTGAGGTTACTGTTTTGCCATTGACTGAACCAATAATTGCTGAAGCATTTGAAGATATTTCACATTTGCCAATAAACGATGACGTAGATGAAGGTACCAAAAGTAGAAGATCTCGCAAAATTATTGATTATAATGAAGATATTTTAGCATTAAAGATTAATCAAGACGAAATATTTAAAAGATCTACAAAAGAAGCTGTGAATCAGGAACCAATGGTAACACCAGAATATTTGCCACCAGAAATTCCTATTGAACAAATATCATCTGTAGTAAATGTACCAATAGAAACCAATGAAATAGTTGAAGATGTAGATGAAAATAACCAAGACAAGGCAACTTCAAGCTCAGAAATTGAAACATTGACAGTTGCAAAAAGGAGCCCCAAAAAAGGACCCAAAAATAAAAAGAATAATTTAAAACCCGTATGGGAAGAAGTAATTCCCTGTAAAGTTTCAGAATTTTCTGAAATCCCCAAATTGGTAGTCGATATACATCACGAAGACCAAATTGAACTTGACAATATTGAACTAGAACCAACTTGTGACATAGTAAATATTGTTCTAGAACAACCAGAGGATGTTTGTAACTTAAAAGATACCAAAAAAGCTGAAAAAAAGAAGAGACGTTCGAGGAAATCTACAAATGCAGAAGAAACCAGTGTTATTAATGACCCAAGTGACAGTTTAGTAGAAGATTTAGTAAGTTTAGAGCAAAAACTGGAAGCTCTTGAGAACGAAAGTTATTCAAGGTACCAGAGAAAATCCAGGAAAAGTAGCAATTATAATGAAGACAATATTATTGTAGAAGACAAACCAGAAATTTTAATCAATGATGCAGAATTATCCAGTGCAATTGAAGAACAACCAATTTTAAACAACAATAAATCTCTAGATCTACTAGACAACATTGAATCTGTTAAAGATGTTTTTGAATTTGAAGAAAGCACTTCAAGTAAAGAAGTATTTTCGACTATAAATAACAATGAATGTACAGTTACTGAATTAGAATCCGTTCCAGTTTCGAAACCTAGAAAAGGTAGAGGAAAAGCTAGAAGAAACAAGAAGAATCATAGTGAAGTTAATGAGCCAATTCAAAAAACTAAAGGCAAAAGAAATAGAAGAAATAAGAAGGATGGTAAAGAAGTAAATCAGACAATAGTTGGGTTAGATTTAGTAAAAGATCAATTTGATAAAGATGAGGTAATTGAACCTGAAGCAAATCAAGACATTTCCATTGAAGCTCAGAACATTGATAGTTTGACACCATTAAAGGATTGTAACGAAGTTACTGATGAATTAAATAACGAAGTTGCACCTGAACCAGAATCTGATGAGGTTCAGAATGATTCATTGATAGAAATTGATGAAAATCCATTGACTGATTTCAAAACAAGTAACGATAAAGAAAAACAGCTCATAAATGAAGAAATTCAGGCAAAATTGAGTATTTCTGTGACAGAAAATGATGAAAATCTTCAAGTTGATGTTAACGAGCCGGAAACTAAACTTCAAACGGAAAATGAAGTAGTTGATGTATATGAACAACTAGATTTAGATGAAAATATTGAAGATGCACCAAAAGCCAAAAGCAGAAGCAAACCCAAGAAAAACAACATGGACATTGACATTACAAACATCTTAAATGTTTTACCCAGAATGCGAAAGTCGCGAAATAATATTACTGAAGACTTTATCAATGAAATGTCAGTACCTTTGACAGAAAATGTTTCAGATATCAAAAGTACTACAGTAGAAAAGTTAATTCCAGACGATAATTTACTAGAAGAAATAGTCCTTGAAACAAAATCTTTACCAACTTCAATACAACACAAGAAACGGAAAAATATCAGACAAAACATTGACGATGATCATCAGCAAGAATTAGCCAAAATCAATATTAAAAATCTACTTCTGAGCAGTTTTGCTCCACCAGATTCCACTTACGAAAGGGACTTTTCAGAATCCAAAATTAAAAAACCAAAAAACACAAGCTTTGATGCACTTAAAAATGTCTTAAACACAATAACTACCTCAGACAATATGTTTTCTGAGATACCGCCTTTAAGTGAAATAATTAGCAGCTCAGAAATGGACATAGCACCTGTGCTAGATGAAATAGACAAGTCATTAGAAAGTGAAGATATATACGATTTCAATGACGAAATAACTCAGAAAAAAACCGTAAAGAAAAAAATCAGAAATAAGCCAGTCAAAGTACAATCAACTAAACCTAGAAAAAGATCAAAATCTAGTGGGCATAATGAACAAGAATTATTAACAATAGAAAAAGAAGTTTCAGATATATTGAATACTAATGAAAATGATCTTGAGTTGAGAAGAAGTCGTAGAGAAAGCCGTAAAGTAGCCTCGTACAATGAAAACGACTTAATTGATCCTCTTATCGACGCCCTGGAAAAAACCCGATCCAGAACCACTAAAAAAGAAAAACCTCCTATTGAAAAGCCCAAATTAAACAGCGAAGAATTATTTGATCTTCTCAAAAAATCCTCTTGCGATGATGCTGAAGTTACTACAAACATAAATACTACATTTATTGATCAGCTTGATAGTTCAAATGGAGCTGATCAAGATTTACCAAGTGACGTTGATAGTATCGCAAGTCCATCAACAAAACTTCAAGACCCAGATAAAATATACGAATTCACCGAAGATAGTCCCGAAAATACAACTTTTCCAAAAAAGAAAAAATCTTTACCATCAGCTGAAAACAACTATTGCCAAATATGCAAAAAATCCTTTATAAGAATTGAAAATTTAATCAAACACAAAACAACTTTGACTCACATTTCAAAATTATCCGAACTAGAAGCTAAAGAAGCTGAAGAAAAAACTCGATTATTGGAAAAAGAAGCTGCAGAACCACTTCAAAACAATCACCATTCCCTAAAACTAGTAGACATTATAAGTGACGTCCTAAACAAACCAGTCTTGGAAAATTACAAAGAATCAAAAGACGTAAGACGTTACAAAAGCCTTGGAGAAAGAAAAAGCTTTGACTCAGAAGTCAATAACACACCATACATATTACCTACAACTATTCTAGAAAAACAAATCAACCTACTAGAAAACATCATTGGAAACAATAGACCTGAAAACAATTACATCGATGAAATATCTTCTTGTTCAAACACCTCTTGTACAACAATATTCAATGTAAATTCTGACGCAGACTTCATAAAACCCCCAATACAATACGAAGAAATCTCTGAAGATTCTGTAAACAACACTCGCGTTTATGAAGACCCAAAACAACGCAAAACCTTAAACCGTGACGAAGAATTATTCTTAGAATGTTGTAGTTTATTAAAAAGTGGCTCTGAAGTATCAAATTCTATTAAAAACCCCGCAACTGAACCGGAAAGCAAAAACCTCATTCAACCTGTGGAAGAAGCGCACGAGTATTCGGACAATTCGCGTACTCCTACACCTCTGGGGGACACTTTCGATGATGAAGCTTCTAATTCGAATACCATATCGTCTAATTGGCATTTGAACTCGGAAAAAACGGTGGACAAGAATCTGAGTTTGTCCTTTGAGGAGGTGAAGAATAAGGAGGCCGCTGGTATGTCTTTTGGGGAAATTTTGACGAAAGGATTGAAGAATCAGTTTGAGAATGTCGCCAAAGTTAATGAAAGGTATGTAGATTATTTTTAATTAAATTTTTATTTAAACTGATATTTAGTTGGGTAGAAAAAAAGATTATTCGCTGGATGTGAATGTTATATGTCAAAATTATTGTTTGGAAATAATTTGGTTCCCGGATAGTGTGAAGATGGTGGGACACCGTTTACTCGGTGCATTATGAAGATGTATTCGGTGTTACACCGCCGATTCATCACGTGATATAACACTGCACTTAATTCCCATTTCGAACTCAGCGGTGGTTCTTCTAAAAGAAAATTTTTAGGATCTTCCAGCAGATTCTTAAGATCCTTAACTTTTCTTTTCTAATTCTTCTATTTTTCCTTAAAAATCTAGAAACCTTGAAATGTCTTGGTGTTTTTCTGAAAAACTAGAAACTTTCAATTCTCAATCTCAAGTTATCAATTTGCAATTTCCCTGGATTTTCTATGAGAAGACTTTTTAGAATTCCTATAACCGTACCAATCATTTGCTATGAATGTTCCTAAGATCTGAATTATTCTGCAAATCTTGAATATTTCTTGGTGCTTCTATGAAAAAACTTGGGAATCATTGGATTCTGAATTCTAAGGTTTAAGTAACTGAGAATTCCTGGATTTTTCTCTGGAAAGACTCTCAAGATCCTGATTCTTAAGTTATCACTTCTTGGTTCTTCTAAAAGAAAATTTTCTGGATCTTCCAGATTCTCAAAGGCTTCAGATCCTGGACTTTTCTTCTGCATATGTTCTGTTTTTCCTTGAGAACTCTCGTTAGATTTGGATTTAGAAACCTTGAAAATGCCTTTGTGTTTTTCTGAAAAACTCTGGAAACTTCCAATTCTCAATCCCAAGTCATGACTTTGCAAATTTCCTGGTGGTTCTATGAGAAGACTTTTCAGATTCTTATTACAAACTGTGTTATTACCTTCAGATCTTGCACTAGTCATTTGCTAAGATCTGTATTCTGCAAATCTTGGATATTTCTTGGTGCTTCTATGAAAAAACTCTGGAATTATTGGATCCTGAATTCTAAGGTTTAACTGAGAATTTCCAAATTTTTCTCTGGAAAAACTCTCAAGATCCTAATTCGTAAGTTATCACTTCTTAGTTCTTTTAAGAGAAAATTTTAGGGATCTTCCAGATTCTCAGATGCTTTAGATCCTGAACTTTCCTTTCGTAAATCTTATGTTTTTCCTTGAGGATTCTCTCTGAAGATCTGGAAATCATGAAAAAGCCTTGGTTTTTTTTATGGAAAACTCCTGGAAACTTCCAATTCTCGGACCCAAGTAATTCTTATAATTTTTATCATTTCCTAATAAGTTTCTAGAAAGTTTGCAACGAGTTTCTAGTGTTTCAACGTGTTAAAAAAAAACTCGTTGATATTTTTTAATTTTTTTTTTTTAAACTTTTGATGAATTTTTGTCATCTTTCAATAAGTTTTAAGAAAGTTTCCAAAAAGTTTCAACAAGTTTTTAGTGTTTCAACATTTGTTGAATTTTTTTTTACATTTTTTTTTTGACTTTTGATGAATCATTTTCATTTTCCAATGAGTTTCTAGAAAGTTTCCAAAAAGTTCCAACGAGTTTCTAGTGTTTCAACATGTTGAAAAAAACTCGTTGAATTTTTTTTAAATTTTATTTTGAACTTTTGACGAATTTTATCCTTTTCAAATGAGTTTATAGATAGTTTCCAAAATGTTCCAACGAGTTTCTGGTGTTTCAACATGTTAAAAAAAACTCGTTGAATTTAAAAAAAAAAACATTTTTTTGCACTTTTGATGAATTTTTATCATTTTCCAATGAGTTTCTAGAAAATTTCCAAAAAATTCCAACAAGTTTCTAGTGTTTCAACATGTTAGAAAAAACTCGTTGAATTTTTTTTTTTTTTGGACTTATGTTGAATTTTTATCATTTTTCAATGAGTTTCTAGAAAATTTTCAAAAAGTTTTAACGAGTTTCTAGTATTTCAACATGTAGAAAAAAACTCCTTGAATATTTTTTTCATTTTATTTTGAACTTTTGACGAATTTTATCTTTTTCAAATGATTTTATAGAAAGTTTTTAAAAAGTTCCAACGATTTTCTAGTGTTTCAACATGTTGAAAAAAACTCATTTAATTTTTTTTTCAATTTTTTTTGGAATTTTGATAAAATTTTATTATTTTTCAATGAGTTTATAAAAAGTTTCCAAAAAGTTCCAACAAGTTTCAGTGTTTCAACATGTTGAAAAAAACTCGTTGAATTTTTTAAAAATTTTTTTTTGGACTTCTGATGAATTTTTTAAAATTTCCCAATGAATTTTTAAAAAATGTCCAAAAAGTTCCAACGAGGTTCTAGTGTTTCAACATGTTTAAAAAAACTCATTAAATTTTTTTTTAATTTTTTTTGGAATTTTGATAAAAAATTACATATTATCATTTTTCAATGAGTTTCTAGAAAGATTCCAAAAAGTTCCAACGAATTTCTAGAGTTTCATCATGTTGAAAATAACTCGTTAAATTTTTTTTAAATTTTACTTTGAACTTTTAACGAATTTTATCTTTTTCAAATGAGCTTATAGAAAGTTTCCAAGAAGTTTCTGGTGTTTCAACATGTTGAAAAAAACTCGTTGAATTTTTCATTTTTTTTTTTTTACTTTTGATGAATTTTTATTATTTTCCAATGAGTTCCGGTTTCCAAAAAGTTCCAACAACTTTACAGTGTTTCAACATGCTGGAAAAACTCGTTGAATTTTCAAATTTTTTTTTTGGACTTCTGATGAATTTTTTAAAATTTTCCAATGAGTTTCTAAAAAATGTCCAAAAAGTTCCAACAAGTTTCTAGTGTTTCAACATGTTGAAAAAAACTCATTTAATTTTTTTTTCAATTTTTTTTGGAATTTTGATAAATTCTTATCACTTTTCAATGAGTTTATAAAAAGTTTCCAAAAAGTTCCAACGAGTTTCTGCTGTTTCAACATAAATTTTATTTTGAACTTTTAACGAATTTTATCTTTTTCAAATGAGTTTATAGAAAGTTTCCAAAAAGTTTCTGCTGTTTCAACATGTTGAAAAAAACTCCGTTGAATTTTTTTTGAACTTTTGATAAATTTGTATCATTTTTTAATGAGTTTCTAGAAAATTTTCAAAAAGTTCCAACAAGTTCCTAATTTTTCAACATGTTGAAAAAAACTCGTTCAATTTTTTTAGGACTTTTAATGCATTTTTATCATTTTCCAATGAGTTTCTAGAAAATTTCTAAAAAACTCCAACGAGTTTCTAGTGTTTTATCATGTTGAAAAAAACTCGTTGATTTTTTTTTTTGGACTTTTAATGATTTTTTATCATTTCCCAATGAGTTTCTACGAAGATTCTAAAAAGTTCCAACGAGTTTCTAGTGTTTCAACATGTTGAAAAAAACTCGTTCAATTTTTTTAGGACTTTTAATGAATTTTTATCATTTTCCAATGAGTTTCTACGAAGATTCCAAAAAGTTCCAACGAGTTTCTAGTGTTTCAACATGTTGAAAAAAACTCGTTGAATTTTTTTTAATTTTTTTTTTGGAATTTTGATGAGTTCCTATAATTTTCTAATGAGTTGCTGGAAAGTTTCCAAAAATTTCCAACGAGTTTCTAGTGTTTCAACGTGTTGAAAAAACTAGTTGAATTTTTACCAAAATTTTTTTTTTAACTTTTGATGAATTTTTATAATTTTCCAATGAGTTTCGAGAAAGTTTCAAAAAGTTCCAACTAGTTAACAGTGTTTCAACATGTTGAAAAAAACTCGTTGGCTTTTTCAAATTTTATTTTGGACTTCTGACGAATTTTCATCATTTTCCAATGAGTTTCTAGAAAGATTCTAAAAGGTTCCAACGAGTTTCTAGTGTTTCAACATGTTGAAAAAAACTCCGTTGAATTTTTTTTTTGAAGTTTTGATAAATTTGTATCATTTTTTAATGAGTTTATAGAAAGTTTTTAAAAATTTCCAACGAGTTCCTAATGTTTCAACATGTTGAAAAAAACTCGTTCAATTTTTTTAGGACTTTTAATGAATTTTTATCATTTTCCAATGAGTTTCTAGAAAATTTCCAAAAATTTCTAACAGGTTTCTAGTGTTTCAACACGTTGAAAAAAACTCCGTTGAATTTTTTTTTGAAGTTTTGATAAATTTGTATCATTTTTTAATGAGTTTATAGAAAGTTTTTAAAAATGTCCAACGAGTTCCTAATATTTCAACATGTTGAAAAAAACTCGTTCAATTTTTTTAGGACTTTTAATGAATTTTTATCATTTTCCAATGAGTTTTTTACGAAGATTCCAAAAAGTTCCAACGAGTTTCTAGTGTTTCAACATGTTGAAAAAAACTCGTTGAATTTTTTTTAATTTTTTTTTTGGAATTTTGATGAGTTCCTATCATTTTCTAATGTGTTGCTGGAAAGTTTTCAAAAATTTCCTTCGAGTTTCTAGTGTTTCAACGTGTTGGAAAAACTAGTTGAATTTTTACCAAAATTTTTTTTTTTAACTTTTGATGAATTTTTATCATTTTCCAATGAGTTTCGAGAAAGTTTCCAAAAAGTTCCAACTAGTTAACAGTGTTTCAACATGTTGAAAAAAACTCGACTTTTTTCAATTTGTATCATTTCTTAATGAGTTTATAGAAAGTTTTTAAAAATTTCCAACGAGTTCCTAATTTTTCAACATGTTGAAAAAAACTCGTTCAATTTTTTTAGGACTTTTAATGCATTTTTATCATTTTCCAATGAGTTTCTGGAAAGTTTCTAAAAAACTCCAACGAGTTTCTAGTGTTTCATCATGTTGAAGAAAACTCGTTGATTTTTTTTTTGGACTTTTGATGAATTTTTATCATTTTCCAATGAGTTTCTACGAAGATTCTAAAAAGTTCCAACGAGTTTCTAGTGTTTCAACACGTTGAAAAAAACTCGTTGAATTTTTTTAAATTTTTTTTTTGACTTTTGATGAGTTCCTATCATTTTCCAATGAATTGCTGGAAAGTTTCCAAAAATTTCCAACGAGTTTCTAGTGTTTCAACGTGTTGAAAAAACTAGTTCAATTTTGACCAAAATTTTTTTTTGGACTTTTGATGAATTTTTATCATTTTCCAATGAATTTCGAGAAAGTTTCCAAGAAGTTCCAAGGGGTTTCTAGTGTCTCAACATGTTGTAAAAAACTCATTGAATTTTTTTCTTGAACCTTTGATACATTTTTATCATTTTCCAATGGGTTTCTAAAAAATTTCCAAAAAGTTCCAACGAGTTTCTAGTGTTTCAACACGTTGGAAAAAACTTGTTGAATTTTTAAAATTTTTTTTTTGAACTTTTGATGAGTTCCTATCATTTTCCAATGAGTTGCTGGAAAGTTTCCAAAAATTTCCAACGAGTTTCTAATGTTTCAACGTGTTGAAAAAACAAGTTGAATTTTTTCCAGAATTTTTTTTTGGACTTTTGATGAATTTGTATCATTTTCCAATGAATTTTGAGAAAGTTTCCAAGAAGTTCCAAGGGGTTTCTAGTGTCTCAACTTGTTGAAAAAAACTCATTCAATTTTTTTCTTGAACTCTTGATACATTTTTATCATTTTCCAATAGGTTTCTAAAAAATTTCCAAAAAATTCCAACGAGTTTCTAGTGTTTCAACATGTTGCAAAAAATTCTTTATTTTTTTTTTTTTTTTGGACTTTTGACGAGTTTTCATCATTTTCCAATAACTTTGTAGAAAGTTTCCAAGAACTTCCAACGAGCTTCTAGTGTTTCAACATGTGAAAAAAACTCGTTGAAATTCTTCAAATTTTTTTTTTGTACTTCTGATAAATTTTTATCATTTTCCAATGAGTTTCGAGGAAGTTTCCAACAAGTTTACAGTGTTTCAAAATGCTGAAAAAAAACCGTTAAATTTTTAAAATTTTTTTTTTTTGGGCTTTTGATGAATTTCTTAAAATTTTCCAATGAGTTGCTAAAAAATGTCCAAAAAGTTCCAACGAGTTTCTAGTGTTTCAACATGTTGAAAAAAACTTAATAAATTTTTTTTCAATTTTTTTTGGAATTTTGATAAATTTTTATCATTTTTCAATGAGTTTCTAGAAAGATTCCAAAAATTTTCAACGAGTTTCTAGTGTTCCAAAACATGTTGAAAAAAACTCGTTAAATTATTTTAAATTTGTTTTGGACTTTGGATGAATTTTTATCACTTTTCAATGAGCCTATAAAAAATTTCCAAAAAGTTTCAACGAGTTTCTAGTGTTTCAACATGTTGAAAAAAAACTCGTTGAATTAAAAAAAAAAAAAAAAAAATTGCACTTTTGATGAATTTTTATTATTTTCCAATGAGTTTCTAGAAAGTTTCCAAAAAATTTCTACGAGTTTTTATTTTTCAACATGTTAAAAAAAACTGGTTGAATTTTTTTTTGAACCTATAAAGTATCATTTTTTCAATGAGTTTATTCTAGAAAGATTCCAAAAAGTTCCAACGAGTTTCTAGTGTTTCAATATGTTGAAAAAAAATGGTTGAATTTTTAAAAATTTTTTTTGGACCTTTTATGTATTTCTAACATTTTCCAATGAGTTTCTAAAAAGTTTTCAGAAAGTTCCAATGAGTTTCTACTGTTTCCACATGTTGAAAAAAACTCGTTGAATTTTTTAAAATTTTTTTTTGGACTTATGATAAATTTTTATCATTTTCCAATGAGTTTCGAGAAAGTTTCCAAAAATTTCCAACGAGTTTCTAGTGTTTCGATATGTTGAAAAAAACTCATTAATTTTTTTTTTCAATTTTTTTTGGAATTTTGATAAATTATTATCATTTTTCAATGAGTTTCTAGAAAGATTCTAAAAAGTTCCAACGAGTTTCTAGTGTTCCAAAACATGTTGAAAAAAACTCATTGAATTATTTTAATTTTTTTTTGGACTTCTTGCTGATATTTCATCACTTTTCAATGAGTTTATAAAAAGTTTCCAAAAAGTTTCAACGATTTTCTAGTGTTTCAACATGTTGAAAAAAACTTGTTGAATTTTTTTTTAATAAACTTTTGACGAATTTTATCTTTTTCAAATGAGTTTATAAAAAGTTTCCAAAAAGTTCCAACGAGTTTCTGGTGTTTCAACATGTTCAACACATAATCTCTGTCAAAAATTAGTGAAAAGTGAATAAAATTTCCGGTTAAAAATCAGTAAAATTTTTCGGTAAAATATGAGTAACATTCCCGGTCAAAAATGAGTAGAGTTCACCGGTAAAAAATAATTCTGATAAAAAATTGATAAAATTAGTAAAGTTTGCGATCAAAATTTAGTTAAATTCGCGTTCAAAAATGAGTAGAATTCGAGGTCAAAAATGAGTAAAATATGAGTAAAATTCCCGTTCAAAATTTTGGGAAATTCTCCTGTCAAAAATTTGTAAAAAGTGAGTAAAATTCAAGGTTAAAAATTAGTAAAATTCGCGATTAGAAACCAGTAAAATTCGCGGTCAAAAATGAGTAGAATTCGAAGTCAAAAATGAGAAAAGTTCTTCGGTAAAAAATGGATAAAATTTGTGATAATTCGCGATCAGTTAGTAAAACTTGCGGTCAAATATGAGTAAAATTCGAAATCAAAAATGAGTGAAATTCTTCGATAAAATATGAATGAAATTTCCAATCAAAATTCAGTGAAATTTTCCTGTCAAAAAAATTAGTAAGAAGTGAGTAAAATTCTAGGTCAAAAATACTTTAGTAAAAAGTCAAAAATAATTCCTGTAAAAAATGGATAAAATTCCCGGTTAAAAATTAGTAAAATGCGCGATCAGTCAAAATTAAGTAAAATTCTTCGGCAAAATATGAGTCAAATTTCTGGTCAAAATTCAGTGAAATTCTCCTGTCAAAAAAAATCTTTGTTAAAACTTACTAAAAAGTGTGTAAAATTCCCGGTCAAAAATGAGTAGAAACAATTCCGGTGAAAAATGAATGAAAAATTCGCGAGCAAAAGTTAGTAAAATTCGCGGTCAAAAATGAGTAAAATTCGAGGTCAAAAACGAGTAAAATTCTTCGGTAAAATATGAGTAAAATTCCCGTTTAAAATTAAGTGAAATTCTCCTATCAAAAATATTCTGTCAAAAATTAGTAAAATTATCGATCAAAAATTAGTAAAATTCGAAATTTGCGATCAAAATTGAGTGAAATTCGCGGTTAAAAATGAGTAGAATTCGAAGTTAAAAATGAGTGAAATTCTTCGGTAAAATTAAGATATGAGTAAAATTCCTGGTCAAAACTCAGTCAAATTCTCCTGTCAAAAATTAGTAAAAACTCAAAGAACATTACTCATTTTTGACAAGGAATTTCACTCACTTTTTACTCATTTTAGGTATTTTTTTGACAGGAGAATTTCACTGAATTTTAACTGGGAATTTTTGCTCAAATTTTACCGAAAAATTTTATTCATATTTGACCTCGAATTTTACTAATTTCTGATCGCTAATTTTATTAACTTTAAAAATTTCACTCACTTTTTACTGATTTTTGACAGTTATTTTCTACTCATTTTTGACAGAGATTATTCAATTTTTTTCTGAAGAATTTTATTTATTTTTTACCACGAATTTCACAAATCCTGAATTTTGAGCTTTAACTGAGAATTTAATTTTTCTCTAGAAATACTCTCAAGATCCTGATTTTTGGTTCTTCTAAGAGAAAGTTTTTAGGATCTTTCCAGATTCTTGAAAATCCTTTGTTTTTCTTCAAGAAAATTCTGAAGAACTTTACAAAACTCAACTAAGGATCGCTGGATTTTTCTCTGAGAAGACTCTTTAAGATCCTTAAGTTACCTTATGATTTGGATTTTCGAAAACTTTCCCAATCGATTAATTATTGATCATTTTCAGGGTCAAAGAGAACAATGATTTTCAAAAAGATCCAACTCCCGAACAAAGTCCAACTCCAGAAGACCGAAAAGATGACAGCGACGGTTCGATTGTCAGCAAAAAAGTGGCAACCAAAGGTGCAAGAAAAGTCTACGAAGGCTTAAGAGTCTCAATACCAACGGAAGATTTGAATTTAGACGTCCTGAACGCCAAGAAATGTGAAATTATCAAAACTGCACCGCAAGTAGAAGAACAAACAAGTCCATCAAAACCGAGATCCATGAGAAAATCTAAGCCAGTTAAAAAGTCTCAAGTTGGCAGCAATTTACTTTTTAAAGTGAATAAAAAGAGGCCGATACAAACTGATATATACAATTTTGAAGAGACTCAAGATAATGTTGATATTTTCATAAAGCCTACTGCCAAGGACATTAACAAAAAGATAATTCCTAGTGACAATGAAAGTTTAGGCTATGCTGACTCAATAGGTGCTGACGCAAAGTCAGTATCCAGTTTATCGTCGATATCAGCAATGTCAACTAAAAAACCTCTCGAGCCAACAAGCCCTCAAAATATCACCAAAAAGAAATCGAAAATTATGGGCAAAATATTCAAAAACGCGGCCAAAACTAAAACCGACGATATCGACGAGGAATTACGCAATATACCTGAAATACCCGAAATTGACAATTTGGAATTGGTAGAGAATTACGTGCGCAGCTGTCAGAGGGTGCAAAGTCCGTTTTTGCCACCTCCACCACCTCCTGCACCACTGGACCAAGTCCCCAAAAAACCTAAAATGACCGAAGAAGAAATGAATATGCTATTTGATCAGTTATTAGGCAAAGACATTGAAAAGCCCAAACCAACAAAAAGGAAAAATCATAACAATAACAAAGTAAAACATCGCAAAAGGTCACGCGTAAATTCGGAAAGTTCAGATGAATATAATCTTAATAAATCAACTAAAAAGAGAACTAACAAGAAAAATAATCCCGATGATTCAGGTATTAACATGGAACAGGAATTAAAGGAATGCATTGGGGTTGCTAGTAGGAAAAGTCAACGCACTTGCACTAGTGGCAAACAAAATATTTTAGTGGAACATTGGAGCTCGGACGAGGAAGCCTTTGAAGCAATGCTGGAAACCCATAAACTACCAGTAGAAGTTGAAAAGGTTTTTGAAAAACCTCCAAAACCCAAAAAGCTTGTTAAAAAACCTAGAAAACCCAAACAGGTTCCAAAAACTTTAGAAGAAATCGCTGTAGCAACTTCAAATAGACGTAAAAGAACAGCAGCTGATCCCCTGTACCATTGGAGTTCCAGCGAAGACGATTCTGAATCTTTAATCGAAATTAAACCAATTAGAGAAGAAGAAGATGAGGACGACAGGCCTGTGCAACATGGTTGGATAGTGGGAGATTCACCGAAAAAACTAGTAACCATGTTGGCCTTAACTAAAGGCAAAAAAACTGATTTCGACAGTGTCAAAGAGCAAGGCAAAAGGAGGACTTCTAATGTTGCCAGCTGACGGTAAATTGAGTATTTTGTAAATAATCGTAATTGATATTCTTGTGCAATAGTGTACGGTTTTTTTTTGGAACTTATTCTTGTCAATAGGGGACTTATGTCCATTAAGTTTTTTTTGTTAGTAACTGGAACATTGGGAAGGTAGTTTTTAGGTGTGAATTTGCATGTGACTCTTGAAATATATACATAATAATGGCCTCATACACTTTATGGTCGAGAGAAGGGATGTGATGTTTGTTGGCCTTTTCCTAGTTTTTTGAAAATTGTTTATTTTATAGAAAAACATCATTCTTACATTTGTATTGTTGTTTCTCAAAATTTTTTAATTAAAATTCTCGGGCACTCACCTAATGAAACTTTTTTCTTCTTAACTTCATTCATTTTCCAGCATTGTTAGTAGCAGTAAAGGGTGGCAAACATCCATTGTAAAATGATTTTGAATCACCCCTTCAAGGAATAAAGTCCCACGAATAAATCCCGGGAAAAAAGCCGCAAGGTTGCAAAGTCAAATGAAAATTAAATGTTCTGGTTTCAATAGGAAATTGCATTTTCAACAAGCGAGCAAATTTCTTGTTATTAACCCCCACCTTTGTGTATTTGAATATTGTCCATTATTGTATAAAAAAAAAAATTAAATATTCTTAAAAAAATACATATATCGGAATATAATATAAATAAAAATAATGTTAAATAGATTTTTGTATACATATTAGGTGTTCAAGTGTCATTTATGTGGGGCAGGTTCTATCACTTAAATTTATACATATATGGATTGTATCAATTCGTTTAATAAAATAATGTTTGTTAATTTAAGTTTAGGTTTGTTCTTACAGCAATCAAAAATCAGTCAGAGCGTCAGAAAACTAGTTTCAACCAATGACTGACTGGTTTGTGATTGCTGCGTGAACAGACCTATTTATTCTTTTCTAATCTATCGAATTTAAAGCAAAAAAAAAAATATCAATACATGTCCTGTTGTGTTCGTTTTTTTATTATTATTAATAATAATGATTATTCGTGATTATATTGTAATGAAATTTGTTAAATAGGTAGGTTAAGACTTTTTACATTAATAAGAAATATACAGGGTGTTTGTGGTATATCAATAGGGAGTTTGGAGTTTGTTTGAACATTTATGTAAAGTTTCGTTGTTTTTGAAATACATAATTCAAACTATCTAAAAATGGCAAAACTTTGTAATATGGTGAAACTTTTCCAAATGACCCCAATTCTCACACACTGAAAACTCCCTATTGATGTACCAAACACCCTGTATATTGAGATTTTAAGTCATATTTCAGACAAGATAGAAGTGCACGATTCTTGTCAACTGTGATAAAAGACCTGTTCCAACACAATATGACTTAAAATTTTAGGTCTCATTTATATAGTCTGTGGTTGTTATGATTTTGGTGCTTTTTATTTCTTCAAATTTTTCTAATAGGTATATAATTTTATAGGATAAAAAATGATCTGTCTGTTTTTGATTGGTGCAAATCCGCGACAACTGTGGGAACATACCTTCAAATAGTACAGATCTAATAAATTGTATAAAATAATTAATATTGGCTTAAAAATAATTTTGTTTTGACTGAATATATAGAGATTTTATTTTTTTTCTTTTGCTGCCAAGAAGCCATGCATATTTTGTTTTTTTTTTTTGTATTAGGATTTAGTAAGTCTGTTTCCGCAGAAATCACAAACCAGTCAGAATGAATTTCATTGGTTAAAACTAGTTGTCAACCAATGAAATTCGCTCTGACTGGTTTGTGATTTCTGTGCGAACAGACCTAGTGTTTGCACTATTTTGAATTTTTCGTGTACACTATATTTTTTTAAGGTGCATTGAAATTAATATCGTAAGAGAAACAATTTTTTAATTTGGCGTAGATAGAATTGTAAAATAAAAAACTATTAGTAAATTTAGGGTATTTATTTTGTTTGGTGTTTTATTAACAGGCACAAAATGAAGGTCCGTGAAGTTGTTAATTTTGTTTTGGAAAAATATGTTGTTTGTTAGTGCTTCGTTAGTGCTTCTTAGTGCTTCAATTGTTTTCGTTAGTGCTTTTTTCGTTTTCTGTATATCGATTTTTTTGTAGTTTCAAGGTCAGCCCTGACAATATGTCAAAATGAACGAAATTTGTTACTATGTTTTAGTCCTTCGTTAGTGCTTCTCTGTGCTTCAAATAGTTTCGAAAGTGCTTTTCTTATTTCTTAGATATTTTAGATTTTCACTTCAAGGTCAGCCCCCATAAATTTTCCGAATTACCCAATTTTGGTGTCAGTTTTTAGTGCTTCGTTAGTGCTTCTCAGTGCTTCAAACAGTTGCATTCGAGAATATTGCCTTTTTGAGATATTTAACTTTAAATTTTCAAGGTCAGCCCTCAAATTATATGGGATTGAGTTAAATCTAGAGTCGTTTTTTTGCGCATCGTTAGTGCTTTTCAGTGCTTCAGATAGTTTTCTTAATGCTCTTTCCGTATTCTGAGTTTATTTTAAAATTACCACCCAAATTTGTTCCAAAATGTACAAAAAACAGGGACGCCACTAGAGCCAACATTGGTTTATAGTATGGAGGTAATCTAAGGTGAAAGGTGCCGGTACTGCCGGTGCGCTCTCTATCTCTCTCTTTTATGGTTATTTAGTTGTTTTGGAAAGGTCTATTTTAATTGGTCACTGTTTTAGCTGGCGCTATTTCGTTCGTTCAGACGCAGTTTTGACTGGCGCTTTTTTAGCACCGGAGCATCTCACTCCGGGGTAACTCGCCTTTGTTTTAAACAGAATGGCTCTGTCATTAAATAGCGCCCAACGAGGAACCGCACTTTACAAGTTGGAAAATGGCATATTTTTAACTATCAGTAAGTCAGTATCAGTAAATTTGATACCTGTGTCATATTCGATATATAATACGACTCCTGGGGCCTTATTCTGTAAAGAACGAACCGTTCGATTCGGTAGAATTTCTTCGATTGTGACGTCATTTTCGGAATAGCTTCCGCGCTAGCAAACCGAAAATGACGTTACAATCGAAGAAATTCTACCGAATCGAACGGTTTGTTCTTTACAGAATAAGGCCCCTGGGCTGGGATCACGACGAGTAGAATTCTACTTTCATGACGTCACTCGCGACCTATTTATCGCGTACAGTACGATGATGATAGTTGCTAGGCAACCTGACGTCATGAAAGTAGAATTCTACTTGTAGTGATCCCAGCCCTGGGTTATATTCTGGCCAATTTACGCCGAAAACTCACGCACTGGAGATCGTAGCTTAGAATAATTCAAATTTATGATAAAAAAATATTGTTTAATATTGTTCAATATAATAGGCAAAGAGGAAGATGAAAACGAGATCTACATAAAGGGTTGTTTTAGAATGGTAATTATTAATGTAGTAAAACCGTGAATAAAATCAAGTATGCATGAAGCCAAAGCCCGCGGAATCATAACCTGTAGTGCAAAAGGCCTATGTCCATCCGAGAAAGGACATGTCTACGTCACAACTGGTGATTTCGTGTATCATCCTTGCTATGAACCGATGTTGGCTTCAGTAGCGTTCCTGTGTTTTTTGTACATTTGGAATAAGTTTGGGTGCTAATTTTAAAATAAAAAATACTAAATAATCAGAATACGGAAATAGCATTAAGAAAGTTATATAAAGCACTAACGATGCGCAAAAAAACGACTCTAGATTTAACTCAATCCCATATAATTTGAGGGCTGACCTTGAAAATTTGAATTTAAATATCTCAAAAAGGAAATATTCTCGAATGCAACTGTTTGAAGCAATGAGAAGCACTAACGAAGAACTAAAAACTGACACCAAAATTGGGTAATTCGGAAAATTTTTGGGGGCTGACCTTGAAGTGAAAATCTAAAATATCTAAGAAATAAGAAAAGCACTTTCGAAACTATTTGAAGCACTAACGAAGCACTAAAACATAGTAACAAGCGAGGGGTGAATAGCTGACCCAAAATTTGTACACCGACTGCCAAATTCCACAATCTTTAAGGAAATTTGTTAAGATTGTGAGTGATTGTGTAAGATTGTGAGTAATTGTGTACAATTGTGTAATGATTGTGACTGATTGTGTAAGGATTGTGAATCTCGATGATTGTGTAACGATTGTGAATAATTGCGAGTGATTGTGACTGTTTGTGTCACAATTGTGAGCGATTGTGAGTGATTGTGTAAGGATTGTGAAAGATTGTGATCACTATGTATAATAATTGGGTTAGAATAAAACAACAAAATATCAAAACTAAATTTTTCTCTGTAATTTTGAAAGGTTTTTTAGAAAATGTTGCATTTTGGGACGCCCCTTGTATATTTCATAAGTGTTTTATGGAGATTCCAATGGCGAAGTCAATTTTTCTCTAGAAGTGATAGTTTTTAAATAACAATGTGTTTGAAGAGGACTTTATATCTGTAAGGAAAATGATAAAGGTCTTTTTCTAACACATTGTTTCTGTTTCTGATGACAAAAACAAAACAATTTTGCTCGGAAACTGTTAGAGATAGATTTATCGAACTTTATATCATTGAAATCAGCAAAAGCAGAGCTATCCAATGAGTTAATAATATACAGGATGTCTTATTTGGAAAAACGTATGTTTGGTTCATTATTTAAAAACTGTCACTTCTCGTGTCATTTCTAGAGAAAAACTGACTACCCCACTGGAATCTACGTAAAAAGATCTATAAGAATTCGTTTTCACCTGATCACTTGTGAGAGAACTGAGATACAAAGGGCTGTCCCAAAATGCAACATTTTCAAAAACACCTTGTATCTTGAAAACAAAAAGGGCGATGACAATTCTGTCGGTGGCATCTTTTGGCGGGCAAAAAAGTAACCACTATTCGGGAAAACCGCATCCTCCTAACTCTAATAGCAACCGAGTTACCTATCCCTTATGTACAACCAAAATGGAACACCCTGTACAGGGTGGCGCAGACGAGGATGACAAATAAAAAAGAATTTGGTGTGAAGTAGATACTTGGTTTCAAATTAGGATTTCAGGTACTTGAAAATTGTGTTAATTTTTTGTGACTTGATGGTATACTGTAAATGGATAGTTTTCAAAATGGATTGAATTTCTACAACATCCAGGTTTGGATTTTTAGGCCATCTCAAGACTTCTAAAATAGTTATATGTCATTCTACTTTTGTCAATTTTCCAATTTGGTATTTGTTAGAGAAGGTAACTGCATAATACTTTTCTACTTCAAGCTCTTCTTCAAGCTGCTGTTCTGGATCATTGAAATATTCCTCTCCACTTTCTAGAGTTGTTTATGTTGGAGCTGTGATACCCGATAAAAGCAATGATACTAATGTAAAGTATCATTAGTATTGTTGCTTTTATCGTTTATCACAGCTCCAACATAAACACGGCCTAAATCATGAAGGCTAATTAATGAATTCGGTTGACAATTAGTTTACATTTTGTACTTTTTGCATATTAGCTTTTTTGCGGTTTTAGTATTTTTGAAGTTTTTTTCTTTTCTTAGTTTTTACTATTTTTCTCTCTATTTTTTTTCTCAATTTTTTTATTACTTCTTTCATTTTTTTCAATTTGTTTTGTTGTCTCTTTTTTTGGCATTTTTCTCCCTCACCCTTAGTAACCTATCTGATGATAATTTCTCATAATTTTCTGAAAATAGCCAATATAAAGAAGTTTTTTTTACTGTTAGTAGTTTTTTATTTCTCGATATTACTTGGATTTAGTGTGAATTCTTTTTGGTTTTTAAGTTAAACTTTTTTTCTTTTTATTGATAATTCTTTAATTCAAGATTGCCAACTGAAGCAAGTAAAGATAGGTCCTTTTCGATAAGTATATACATATTCCGATTCTTCCTCATATATTTATGCTTGTTTTAGGGTTTATGGGAATTTTCCTATTCAGTACGACAGAGTTCAGAAATGTATGCTGCAGAAGTGGCAGACAAAAGTTAGCTAATCAAAAGGGCTTATTAGCTCATTATTATAAGCGAGAATAAAGTGAATAAAACTATTTGGAGGGACTCCACGTGCGACCGGTGGTGGTAGATTGTGTAGCGATTGTGAGATATTGTGCAACGATTGTGGGAGATTGTGACACGATTGCGAGAGATTGTGACACGATTGTGAGAGATTGTGTTACGATTGTGACAGATTATGTGAGATTGTGTAAGGATTGTGACAGATTGTGTGAGATTGTGTAACGATTGTGAACGATTGTGATCTGATTGTGAATGATTGTGTGAAGATTGTGAGGAATATGTACACCGACTGCAAGAGCTATTCACCCTTCGGTAACAAGTTTCCTTCATTTTGACAGATTGTCAAGGCTGACCTTGAAACTACAAAAAAATCGATATACAGAAAACGAAAAAAGCACTAACGAAAACAATTGAAGCACTAACGAAGCACTAACAAACAACATATTTTTCCAAATAAAATTTAACACTTTAGGGGCCAACTTCACGGACCTACAAAATGATTGTTTTCAACCTTGAAGACTCTTATCAATCTAAACAATTTTCAACTTTGCAAAATCATAACTTTTTTCTATTATAGATAGAAAGCTGAAATTGAAAATTCAGCCATTCTTATCCTAGTGGAGGACAAGGAAATTTAGGGTGAATTTTTGAATTTTCCTGACGTCTTTTTTACTAAGATTTCAGTTTCAAATCCCACAATAAATCATTGTCTTTATTATACAGGTTGTTCCAGCCAAGAGTGACCCATTTCAAATGCTCATAACTTTTAAACCAGGTGTGCTAGCTGCCTGCGGTTTGAGCCAGTTGATTTCTCTTGGTCTACAGTTTTTTCTAGTGGGCTGCACTTTTTTTTTAAACATATGCAGGGCAAGTGAAAAAAATCAATTTTTCAACAAAAAAATTGAAATTTGACCATCATTTTGAAAGGAGAACGACTTGAATTTTTAAGAACTATCAA